GTATGATATATGACCACCCTTACGGCGCCTCACACCCCACGGCGCCTCACGCCAGGGGGAGCAACTCTCACCCAAATCACTTTCCATATGTCAAATGCTGACGGAATGTGGGGAGTTGGGTGGCCGTGCCCCAAGGAGGATGTCATCAAAGAATTCATCACCTCTACAGGTTTGTAAAATTCTCTTTCAGATTAAATCCTCCTTGAGGCACTTATTGCATCAAGACAGACTCCCAAAGATAATCTAGGAAGTGGCATCCGTCAGCAACAGGCGTAAATAAATACATCGTATTTGATTATTGAACAGAATAAAATATAGAGTTCAATAAAAGGAACCAACCTTATCGTGAGGCACCACCGTCGAAAGGCGGGGGCTAGAGACAGGGCGTGGTCGACCATATATTGTGATAAGGCCTGTTTTTTGCGGCTTGTCATAAGTTGAGAACTCGAAACACCACCCACCCGCCCCCACACTTTTTTGAACAAGTGATATAGGGGCGTAGATCACGAGAGACTATAACCCGCGCTGAGCTAGGCCAGAGGGTCCCCGAGGATCGAAGGAGTGTGTGTGCAAAATACGAGTATTATCGAGTACAAAAGACCGCAGAAGATAAAATCCGGACCATTACTGAGCAGTATAACTGGAGGACTGTCTAAAATCTCGAATGCTCAATCGGCTAGAGATTAGAACTTTGCCCAGTTTGGAGAACTGACTGACCAAACCGAGCATGCTCGTTGCGTGTTTGTCGAGTTGGTAATGTTTGACGAACGTGCTCGGCTGGCTCCAAATAGCCGCGGAGCAGATCTCCTCAATGGGCAGAGCCGCGGCATACGCTTGTGACGTAGCCACTGCTCTAACCGAATGAGCCTTCAACCTGGTAGGGGGGTCCCTACCTGTAAGCTTATACGCTGTACAAATGGTTGAAACTATCCACCTCGAGATAGATTGTTTGCTCGCAGGTGAGCCAGCCTTCCTACCGCCGTAAATAGTTGGTTATCCTTACGGATACCCATAGTTCTGCTGATATAGGCCTTGAGGGTCCTGCGGACATCCAAGACATTAGCATGTCTTGCAGTGATCCCCGAGGAGGAAGGCTCTGAAAGAGCAGGTAGCTCAATAGGAGCCGTTCAAGTGGAAGGTGTGTGCGACCTTAGGACGGTAAGAGTCCGGTAGTCGATAACTGACTCTGTCCCGGTGGAAGACAGTTATTTCGGGATCGGCTGACATAACACGAATGTCGCCTACCCGTCTGCCGGACGTTACCGCCACAAGGAACGCCGTCTTCCAGCTCAACAGCTGAAGAGAGAGAGACGACAGATCCCGAAAGGAAGGACCGGACAGCCAATCAAGAACGATTGACAAGTCCCAAGGGGGACTGATCCGCTGGACTGGCGGTCGGATCCTGTCCACACCTGCTAAAGAGCGCTGCAATAATGGGTGTGCACCCAGAAGTGCCCCGTCGACAGGGACGTGAAAAGCTGCGATAGCTGTAGAGTACCCTTGGACTGTTGATGCGGCCAGGCCGTCATCTAGTCGCGACTGGAGAAAATCAAGCACGGCTACGACATCTGCAGAAAATCTGCAATCCCTCTATCGACACACCAGCGCGCATAGCAGGTCTATCTATCCTCGTACTGAACGTTTGTCGAATCCCCCCGCGAAGCCAGTATTGTGTCTGCAACTCGTGCAGGAATACCGCTCTTCTGGAGGCGATTCCTGACAGTGGCCAAGCCACCCATTGAATCCTGGGATTCGGGTGGAGGGTTCCGTTCTGGGATAGGAGGTCCGGTCGTAAAGGTAATATAACAGGAGGCTGAGCCAAAAACCTGAGTATTACGCAAACAGATCCACCTGTAACGACCTGTATAACAGGGAGAAAATCCCGAATATCCCCGGGTCGAGCCTCCACTCGTGAGGAGCGAGGATGCGGCGAGACAGAGCATCCGCACGGACGTTGACCACCCCCGGGAGATAAACAGGTAGCACCCTGATATCGTGAGAGTCGCATCATAGTAAGAACTGCCACGTCTCTTGGCAAGCGACGAAGACGCCGTTCCCCCCTGCTTCCGGATGTAATTCATAGACGTTTGGTTGTCCATCTCTAGACGAACCACTTGGCCACGAAGCAGATCCGGGATTGGTTGGAACACCAACCTGACCGCTCTCAGTTCTAACACATTGATATGCAGTTTGATCTCCTGCTGGGACCATAGTCCCGAGGCAGTGTGATCATTCAGAACGCCTCCGCAACCGGAGAGGGACGCGTCTGTTTGAACTGTGAGAGACGGAACGGGAGTGTCGAGGGGGAGCCCCCGGGACAGATTCCTGACCTCAGTCCACCACTGAAGGTGTGTAATGAGCCAATATGGAGTCTCGAGCACAGTCTCGAGATCTTCCGAGTTCGCCAAAAGTCGACGGAGTGCTTGTTGAATGGGACTCATTCTCAAGCGCGCCCGCCAGACCACATCCACTGTCGCCGCCATGTTGCCCAGTAACTGGTGTACGAGCAGTGTGACTTGCGCATAAGGAACTTGATATCTTGTGACAGAGATACACGTCCTCTCACCATGTTGAAATTCGCCCCTAGGAAGACTAGATTCTGAGTAGGGCTCAGATCTGACTTCTTGAGATTGACTATCCACCCTAGAGTGATCAGAATGTTTCTTGTGTAGCTATCTGACTCAGGGATTGCGATAGAGTTCTGGAAGTTGAGTATTTAGATTGCGATAGAGTTCTGGAAGTCGAGTATTTAGATACCGACATCCATCATCTGCGCTTATTGCTTGACCTTAGTCAAGTTGGGGGTCTCCGACTCTGGCATGGGCGCAGCCACCTGAGGCAGTACCTGGACAATCCTGTCCCGCACGTGCCTCTGCACCCGGCCCGAAGCCGAGATGCCGGGAGTTCAAGGGAACCCACCTGGCACTTATATAGCGACGTGCATGCACGTGTATGTGTGTGTGTGGCTGCTTGTACTAGTCCGGACTGATGCCGGTTTATAGTGCTAGCTCACTGAGATACCATGCCGCAGTTTAACATGAATACCCCACTCAGACACAGTATACTGACTCCGAGCCGACCAGTCCTTGTTTTAGCCCCTTAATGCCGAGCGCCAGACAGGGTAACAACAAGTACAATCTTTTAACGTCTGTTTGTATGACGCGGCCCGGGATCGAACCCTGGACCTTCCGCTCTCCGGGCGGACGCTCTACCACAAGACCACGGAGGCGGTCCACTGGTTTAGGTATCCACTAGTGGAAGCCTCGGCCTCTGAAGAGGCGTCTGGCTCCGCTAGGGACAATTGTGCGTCGGTAGTGCCAGGCCGGCGCCTGCCACCCCTCCGCTGGGGAGCGACCTCGAGCCAGAGCCGAAGCTCGGTCTCGGATCGTCCCCGAGACCAAGGGAACCAACCTGGCTCCGGGCTAGGTATCCACTAGTGGAAGCCTCAGCCTCGGAAGAGGCGTCTGCCTCCGCTAGGGAAAATTGTGCGTCGGTAGTGCATGGGCCGGCGCCCGACACCCCTCAGCTGGGAAGTGACCTCGAGCCGGAGCCGAAGCCCGGTCTCGGATCGTCTATGAGTGTGATATAAAGATCGAATAGATACGTGCATAAATTGTGAAACTAGAAGCAAAGGCGTAATGTAGAATGCGATTTGTAACGCGATACTAATAGCGATGTCGTAGTATAATTATAACACCAAAGGGCGTGTTACACGCTATGGTGTAAAACCCGTGAAAAAAAGGTAAGTGTAATTTATAAATTAACACACCACCTTGGGTTTTTGTAAAGGAAAAAATTGTAGACCAATGCTGTATGATATAACCAAACCCCAAGCCGTTTCTAATGTATCAGCCCTTGGAACTACAATATGGAAGCCATTACGGCAATTTGAATTCAAAAGTACCGTGCACGTGGCGTATAATTACAACTCTATAACTTTACAATGCGAGGTGTTACACCTTTGCAATGAAAGAAATGTACCATACATACAGTTTGGTCAGCCATAGTTCTTGTCGAACGATAGATTCTCTTATTTTGTCTTGTGTGAAAAATCAGCACATCTGTCTCTTACAGATAACATAAGGAAAGTGATTTGGGTGAGAGTTGCTCCCCCTGGCGTGAGGCGCCGTGGGGTGTGAGGCGCCGTAAGGGTGGTCATATATCATACAAAAACGAATTTTTTTTGTGTGGTAACATTTTTTATTAAGGAAAGTGGTTACAACTATGTCATGTAGATTTTCTGGAGCAAGGAAAATGCAATAAGTGCCCCAAGGAGGATTTAATCTGAAGAGAATTGAAGGTTGCTGAAGGTATCTGGAAGGTTTCCGGATGCAAATTTTCTTCATGTCTTGTTTCTGGTTATTAATGTTAGCCTGTGCATATGAGATAGCTGTTGTAATATTCTGTGTTATTTTAGTTGTAAATATCCTCCTAAAACTGAGATCTGTGGGCATGCATTGTTCACAAGATCGATTAGCGACATGGGTACAAATGTGTGAAGTTTATTGCTGGTGTCACCCATATTGTTGCAATATTGCTAAAAGTGGCATAACACCATTCTCACTCAGAAAAAATGGAAAGTCATTGGCTATGTGCTTTGGCATTTGGCCCTGGTGAGATTAAAAGATTAGTTTGGAAAGGTATCAGTACTTGTTATATCTGGACAGTGTAGTTTCATGGGAGTACGAAACAGAATACAATTGTCCCAAATTGGTGCATAAGACTAAAGGCATCCATAGAAAACACCTAAATAAAGTACAGAAAAATATATCAATGTCATTTGTCTACTAACGTGGAACTACAACTTTTGTTAAGTGAGCTGTATTTATAGTAGGAAAACATTCTGGGCATTAGTATATTTTATATTTGTTCAGCACCTATGTTATGGCTAATCAGTATCATATTTCTTTATGCTTATGAAGCAAAACAAATAATGTTTTTGGAAAAAAAATCATATTTATTGATTATATGACATTTCATTGGTACATATCACAAATTGAAATTTGATCAAGCAAGAGAACTAGCATAAAGTAACCAGTGGTGTTTGCAAGAACTTACAGAACAGACACTTCAATGCCATTTTCTAAATAAACAAATTAGTCAAATCTCAGAAGAATTTCATGGAAGAAGAATATGTAAAGTCAATTATGTTTCTGCAGTAAACCACAAAAGTCATTCAGATTTGTATAGTCAGTGTCGGCGTACACAATCTGGACATAGTCACAGTGCTTTGGCATAAATTCATTCAGACTTGATTAGTGTCATTAATAAAACCACCTACAGTCACACTGATGTGGCATTATTCATTCAGAATCATCACTTTCTGAGGTGAATCTGTTGGTTGTTATCGGGAGGATTGTTCATCATCCGGCAAGTCCCTTGTCTGACATGTCTGAGCAAGATCTTCTTAAATGTAGCTGGTGTCAGATTGTGAAATCCAGGTACCTGAAACAATTCATAACATCTTTAGAAACTTGTTATTCAAAAATTATGAAACATACATGTATATTTACAAATGTAAAAAGTTGTTTTCTCGAACAGTGAGGTATGGACAATTTATCTTGCAACTGATATTTAACCAATCTTTGACCATGTAAATAAGCCATTGCAAGCAGAAAAGTGTTAAGAAAATACAAAAATGTATCCAGTCTTCTAAAACAATACCTTAAGCGCCACAAGGTTCACCTGAATTTTGCTTGAATGTTTGTATTACATCAAAATATAAGGAAGGGTGAACAAGACAATGCAAAACTAAGTTACATAGGTTCTTATACATAAAAACAGAACTATTCATAATAATCAAAACTTTCAATCACACAGGTCATGTAAGTGATCTCAAAATACAACATAATGAGCGAGTGAGTTGGTATAGTTTCATGCAGCTTGTTAGCAATATTCCAGCTATGGGCTTCACACATTGTATCCATGTGGGGAATCAAACCCGGGTTACAGAGAACATTTTAGCCACTAGGCTACCCTAGCACACCATAAACTAAAGAAAGTACATTAGGATTTCAGACAATAGATATTCTCACCAAATTCATTCATTCATTATTGGAAGCTATATTGAAATTCCAATTTTGACAAATTAGGATGAGACTGTAGAAGTATTTATCTAAGTTATTATGGATATTTAATATCTACCGTTAATTGGTAGTAGGACATAGACAGTGATAAGAAATTCAACTGAAAAGCACAATCTGTACCATCAACTAAAAACTATGTATATTACATTAAAGGGGCCGGTCATGTATTACCGGTATGTTCTCATTCATTTCTGACACTACCCTCCCTGAAAGAAAATGCAAAGCACTTTATATTTTATTGTCCTTTTTTCATAACCCTTTTTACATGACCGGCCCCTCCCCTAGAGACCCTCACAGTTTTGGGGGACCCTCCCTGTTTGTTCTGATCTGAATTAAAATATTCATGGCAATATTCTTGACTAAAATCATCATCATATTTTTATCATATCTTATCATATCCTATCTTTTTTGAAAAATAACTTAATGAAGATTAACAATAACATGCAAATCTGCCAAAAATATTGGTCTGGCAAAGTTTAAATTAATTGTAATTACTGTTATAAAGTTTTGGATCCATCGTCTGTTTCTAAATACAGTGAAACCCAACTTTGACTTGCGTGACATTATTGAATCATCTACCCAATGTTCTTTATGCATTGATATGCATCTACACAGAGTGGTCAAAGTCCTTGTCTGACACATAGTGTGCTACAAGGGAGACATCTGTTTGTGTCCAGCCAAACTGTCTGATAATCTCAAGGGCTGCCTTGGTAGCATCAAGGGATGTAGCTAATCCTAAATAAACATAAAACAAGTGACATCATCTCTTCTACAGAACACATGATCAAAGCCTGCCCCACCTTTGATGTTTATTACCTTGCTACTCTAAAAACAGCTAATTAGCAAAATGAACTCAATGTCAACTCATTGTGGACTAGGGATTAACAGGGCAATTAGTGTCGGGTGGGTATTAGTACTTGCAATTGTCTGTTAATTACTTTATTGAGTAGTGACGGCTTAGTCAGTTGTGCATTTACAACCACGCTGACTGCTATTCAACTTGTCAAGTCAGTTTACTATGCTTCTGGGGACCAAGGAAATGTATCTTGCTTGATTACAGTTTTTTCTACTCTATCAGATATATAATAATGACAGTTTTGATGTGCATTTCTTTGATTATCACTAGGATGATTAGTAGTGATGGTATTTGAAATAGACACTATTTATTCCAAAAGAGGAATAGGGTTGGTGAAGAGGCAAAGCTTATTTGAACACAAAGACATGTAACAATTAATAAACAGAAACTGTAAAAAACAGAATAACTGTTTAGATTAACCGTGCCTACAGTTAAAACTATCAGGATGCAAATTTTCAAAGTCATATCTTTTCACAACTCAGATCAGGTTGTAGTGATTTAAGTTCACATAAAACTTGCTAATTACAAATGACCCATCCCGCACTTGTGGCGCTTACTATGATTTGGTTTGGTTTGTTGTTTTATGCCGCACTCAGCGATATTCCGGCTATATGTAATTAATCGAGTCTGGACCAGACAGTCCAGTGATTGACATCATGAGCATCGACCCACACAATTGGGATCAATGACATGCTTCAACCAAGTCACCAAGCCCGACCGCAACCCGATCCCATTAGTCAACTCTTTAGACAAGCATAGTTGCCTGTTACGGCAAGTATTGGGTTACTTTATATTTGTGTGTCCAAAATACGCCATTATTAGAAATAATATGTATCATTATACACATGATATAAAAATGGCTTAATATGGTAATGTTGAAAATTATGTACAGGAAAACATTGAAAGAAACCATCAATACATGCATTTATGTCAGAATCTGTTAGATTTAATCAATATGGTTTCATACTTGAATTATCTACTTACAATTTAATAACTACATTATTGCTTAACTGATAGTATTGAACTTTATTGTAATTAATACTTTTTGTGTATTTGATTAGCATATAGATAGGCAATCAGATTGTTTGCAAATCCATTACATTTTGAAATAAATATGTTCAAAACACATGTAGTAGTACATATTATTAAGAAGATGGCAATTGTTATGACATGAAAAGATGTAATGTGTAGGATCCTCAAAATGGTATCCACAACGGCAGATAGTAGAAACATGTTGTGTTTGTTGTTTAACGCCACACTCAACAATATTCCAGCCATATGACAGTGATCTGTAAATAATCGAGTCTGTACCAGATGACCCAGTGATTGACAATATGGGCATTGATCTAAGCAATTGGAGCAGAATCGTGAATTTAACCTAACGAAGGAGTAAGTATATACTCCGAAATGTTGTGATCCTCATGATAAAAAGGTTGACATCAATACATTTACTCCTTATGAGTATCACTTGTAAATAACTTTCATAGACTTCAGGAGTATATCTGTGATATATGTGTGCACTTAAATAAATCACTGCATCCTTATCTGAGGCAGGAATAGATAATGTGACAGAAACCATAGTCAAATTTATAGCTAAATACAGGTATTTGAAGATTTTCAGTTGTGGCGACTCTTTCAGTGAAACCCATACAGTATTTGATTTGTAATAGTAAACTGTTCTAGTATTTTCTGTCTGTAGCTGTAAAGAAGTTCCGAAATTGTAGTGAGCACCTGCTCAGACATTAGGAGAAACAAGATGACATAGATATTGACCCATTTGTAAAATTTACAGCCTGAAGTATGTTTGTTGCCACATATCAATAAATAAGTTCCATATTGGTTGATTTATTTGTTGTAATGTAAGGTCAGAAATAGCATCAGTTATTACTGACAATTATCTCTTGTAAAACCTTTCAACATGTTCGAATGATACATTGAAAGGCCACTGTGAATAATTGTGATCTGACAGCAACATGTTAGGATTCTTAAATACAGTTACAGATTGACATTGAGTACTTTAAACTTCAAAGCGTATAATATATTCACAATAAGTTAGCTGCGTCTGCCAATCAGAGTCGGCGAGTAAATTAGAGTAGGGGGCTACTTTCTAAGGTAAACTTGTTTTTCAAAACTATTTGTGTTTGTATGAGACGATGTGTGTTTAATTCCATAAAAGCATGTTATCACAATAAATTGAGTCGCGTATAGGATAAGTTGGGGTAGAGGCTAATTTCTAATGTCAACTTGTTTTAACATTTGACAATTATTGGTCTTTGCAAGTTATCAATCCAAGTTTAATTTCATTTATTTTACCAAGGTAAAAAAAATAAGGTGTCATTTTCGCCAAGTAATAATCCCCGTTTTCGCTTTCGGCGAGGGTTTTGCCAAACGTTGCAGTTTGCTAAGGTGTCGTTTTAGCTATAACCCGCTTATTGCACATTATAAGTTTCAATTTATAATCATTTTAACCACTGGAATAAGTAAGAAATAAAATAAAAAACTATAGAAAACAAAGGTGCTTTCATAAAAAAGCACTTGATATGAAATGCGCAGCTGCAGGCAATATTTAGTAAACAAATAATTAAAACTGTCAACATTGCTGGGCTTATGCAAAAACATAGCGTGTGGAGACGATATACCACTGAAAAGAGCATATATATGCACACCCAATGACCCCTGACATCACAAGGCATTGTTTTGCCAGTGTGTCAGGCAACAAAATATTACAAATTACATCACAGGGTATTGTGACCTGTTTGAAAAGTTTGTGGTACTGTATTCTAAAGGTAGGCCCAAGATTCTAGACAATCCAGTGATTGATATTTTGAACAACAATCCACACTGTCAGATGCCATGAACCAGGTCACCGAGCCTGATCACCCGATCTATTAAGTTATCTCTTATGGGTGAGGCGAAAATAGCACCTTGTTTTGGCAAAAAGGGCTACTAATTGTCGTTGTCTATTATCTGGAGAGACATTCTTGTGATATTGTTGGCAGAAAGGGGAGATATATATGAAATTTCTATAAAATAACTATTTATTTCGTACTTACTAAAATAAAAATGATATATATAGTATACCTGTAGTCCAATTTCTTGACATTTTCGCCAGACTCAGTTTCAGCTTGACATTGAGCTAATCTGAGTTGGTTGGTTTGTTGTTTAATGCCGCACTCGGCAATATTCGAGCTATGTGACGGCGGTCTGTAAATAATCGAGTCTTGACCAGACAATCCAGTGATTGATATCATGAGCATCGATCCACGCAATTGGGATCGATGACATGTATCAACCAAGTCAGCGAGCCTGACCACCCGATCCTGTTAGTCGCCTTTTACGACAAGCAGTCGCCTAATCTGAGTAAAGCAACTTATATCTTCAAAGCATCTTTCAATGATAAGTTTAGTTGCACCTCCCAATCAGAATCATGAGTAAATTTGAGTAGAGGCTAATTTCTAATGTGAACTGTTTTTAGGTGATTAACATTTCACAATTTTTTGTTTGCAAGATTAATTTCATTTATTTTACTTCAAAGTAATCAAAGCATGTTATATTTTCACAATAAGTTTAGTTGCATCTCCAAATCAGAGTCGGTGAGTAGAGGCTAGTTTCTTATGTAAACCTTTTGAACATTTCTCAGTTATTTGTGTTTACAAGTGACCATGCGAGTTTAATTTTATGTATTCGGGCATGTTCAGTACCAAGGTAATATAAATAACAAGGTGCTGTTTTCACCAGGCAATAGTAGCTGTTTTCGCTTTAGGCGAGGTGCCGTTTTCGCTTATAGTATAACCCTCTCTTACAACTAGCATAGGTTGATGGGGACCAATTCCAACCCGGAATCCCCACATGAGTGGGTATGGTTTTACGCTGCTTTTAGCAATATTCCAGCAATACCACAGCAAGGGACACCTGACATGGACTTCACACATTGTACCCATGACAGGAATCGAACCTTGGTCTTCAGCACTTCAACCACTAGGCTACCCCACCGCCAAAATTCCCAACATGATAAAGTTGTCATCATGGTATTCTTCAACAAGTTCAAGTGAAAATATTTATACCTTTCAAATGTCTTATCTTCCACTTCACTATGTTCACTGTTGCAAAACTTCTGTCATTTAATTTGTTCTTGATTCTTCACACCTGCAAAAGTAAGTTTAGTCTAAACCATTCTCACAAATTGGTGAGTATCACAGATTGATTTGTCGGTACGGTATGAAATAAGAAAATGGGTCACATTAGAGTATCTAGTTAAAGGAGTTAAAGTAAGCAAACATATTTCTACATCATATACGTGTACATTAGCAAGGATTAACATAAGTTAGGTACATTGCTTATCCTACAAAAATAAAATCACACATTTACTAACATATATAAAACCGAATAAGTGGCTTACAGATGATAAATGACTTTAATACGTGATCAATATTATTCACATATTAATACCTGAATCAGAGACCATATAACAGTCTATATAATATGGTCTTTGTCTGAATATGTCACGTCTTCAGCTCTCTGCATGACATCAGCTGCAATCGCCAATTTTGACGAGGTTGTGAAACATTTCTGCTGTAGGAATATTACGTCCGCTGGGATATCCCTTGTCACACTGCCTTATCTAGGCATGGTAAGCAAACACATATTCCATACACGACGTAGGTATACTTCCTAATACAACGGACTTACTTACTTACTTTTAAGATTTAACATGCGCTTTCCGACTGATGCGTATTTCGCACACGGGCCCGGCCAGGCCATTTAATGTGTTTCCGAAAGGGGCGAAAGTGGTCTGTGCAACCCAAGAGGGGGCTTTAGGGGTTGCTTATATAGAATTTGGGAATTTTGAGATTTGGAATAGATGCCGATGGGGTAGGGGAGGAGAACTAAGGGAGCTGGGTATGGTGGATGTTTGTGTGTTTATGTAATTTTGATTTGGTGGATTATAGTGTTTTTAGATGCGTTTTATTAGTTCCGTTTTGATTAAGAATACGCCTAAGGCCTTGAAGTTTTCTAGTTTATTTTGTGGGTTAAGTATTGCTTCTAGAGTGAGAGCCTTGTTTAGATTGAGGGTGGTTTGTAATGCGGTTCGATGTGTTAGGTAGTGTGTGCAGTAGATGAGTGCGTGTTCTGGGGTTTCTAGTTGTTTGCAGTGTGGGCAGTTACCTGTAGTATGTTTTTTATATTTTTTTTAGGTGGTTATTTAGGTTGGTGTGTCCTGTTTGGAGTTTAGTGATTACTCTGTCGATTTTTTTTGATGGATGGAGAATTTTTGGTTTGGTAAGTGGTTTGCTGAGTACTTTTTTGATTTGGCTATTTGAGTTTAGATATAGGTTATGCCATTTTTTGGTGATTTTTTGCTTATTTACACTTTTAATTTCTGATTTTGAGATGGGTAAGTTTAAGCTTATTTCTGGGATTTTGAGGGATAGTTTAGCTGCCTTATCGGTGTTTTCATTACCGTATATTCCTACGTGGGCGGGTATCCACAAGAAGGTTATTTGTTTGCCTGCGTTAGTTAGGTCGTTGGAGCTTTTAAGTATTAGATTTATTAATTTAGGTCGGTTTTTGGTATTTTTGTTTTGGAGGGCTTGCAGTCCACTTAGGGAGTCGGTAAGTATAAGGATTTTATTGTGGTTTTTGGATTCTTGACTATGGAGGGCTGAGGCCATGCCCATTAGTTCTGCCGTGAGTATTGATTGGTTGTTTGGGAGTCGGAAGGATTGTGTGGTTTTAGTTGGTTGTGTGGTATGGACTCCGAAACCTGTGTGTTTGGAGGTCGGATCTGAAGATCCGTCCGTGTAAATGTGACACCAATTTGGCCAATTTTCGTGTATGTATGCTAGTGTGGTGGTTTTAGCTATGTTTGGGTCGGTTTGTTTATTTATTTGGCTAGCTAGTGTTGTGTCTATTTTGGGTATTTTAAGTTTAGGGGTGAAGATATTTGATTGTTTGCAGTTTTGTTTAAGATTTTTAATTTGGTGTTCATTTAGGTAGTTTGTTATTCTTTGGGATATTGGGGTAAGTAAGGGGTGTTTACGAGCTAGAGCTTGGTTTTGGGGGCTGATATTTTGGTTTATTAAGTTTTAGATTAGAGGGTTTGATTGGGATGCGGCCCAGAAATTAAAGCTTAGCTGTTCCCTGCGTAGACTTAGTGGCATTTCTCCTGTTAAGGCCTGAAGTGAGGTGTAGGAGGTGCCATGTAATTAGTTTGAGAGCCTGATATTGTATTGAGTCAAGTTTTTTAGATAGAGAGTTGTTTAGGGTGTTGTATATGGCGCAGCCGTAGTCTAGTTTTGATCTAATTAGTGATATGTAGAGTGAGAGGAGGGTATCTTTGGAGGCTCCCCAGTTTGAGCCAGTTAGGCATCTTAGGGTGTTTAGGTCTTTACTGCATTTAGTTGTTAGGTTTTAGATGTGAGCATCCCAGGTGAGATGTTCATCGAAAATAAGTCCTAAAAATTTGGTTTGTTTTTGAAATTTGATTGTTTGGTTGTTTAGCTGGAGGATTGGGGAGGCGGGTTTCATGTTTTTATGTTTGAATACTATTCCTGTTGTTTTTTCTGAGTTAAGGGAGAAGCCCCATTTGTCAGCCCATTGTTGTATTTTATTAAGAGATTTTTGGAGTAAATTTTGGGCCATTTTAATGGTTTTAGTGCGGATCCAGAGGGCTCCATCATCCGCGAATTTGGATGTGTTTATTTTAGGGGATAGGCCCTCGAAGAGATCGTTTATCATTATATTAAAGAGTGTGGGGCTGAGGATACTGCCCTGGGGAGTGCCATTTTCTAGGGGACACTGGTCCGATAGAGTATGGTCTATCCCCACTGTTATTTTACGTTCGTTTAGAAAGTCCTGAATGTAGTTTATTATTTGTCCTTTTAGTCCTATTTTTTAAAGTTTTTGTATTAGCCCGTTGTGCCAAACCATGTCGAATGCTTTGGAGAAATCCAGAAAGATGCCTGTTGTGTATTGTTTGTTGAGTTGTCCTGTCTTGATGTCCTGTTCTAGTCGGGTGAGATTATCTAAGGTTGAGCGGCCAGGAGTGAAACCGCTTTGATCTGTGTTTATGATGTTATTTTGAGTTAAGTAGTGTTGTAGTCTATTTTTGGCCATAGATTCCATTACTTTACATAGGTTTGAGGTTAGGGATATTGGTCTATAAGAATTTGCCTGGTTAGTTGGTTTATCGGGTTTAGGGATAGGGATGACTAGTGCCTGTTTCAAGGGAGTTGGTACCTGTCTGTTTTGATAAATTAGGTTATATAGTTTAAGTAGTGCCTGGAGTAGGTTAGGGGGGAGTTTTCTAATTATTTGGTAGGATGTTAGGTCTAGTCCTGGGGCAGTTCCCTTTTTCCTATTTTGGAGTACGTACTGGAGTTCTTCCATTGAGTAAGGTTGGTTTATTTCGAGGTTATCATTATTTGGTTCTTTAGTAGGTTTGGCTTCTGCTTTAAGTTTTTGTTGGAATTTTTCGCTGAAGTTATTGTTGCTGCTTATGGCCAAGAAGTGGTTTGCTAGGTTATTTGCCTTTTCGGTAGGGTTGGTTGAATTGTTTATGTTGGGTGTTTTTTTGTGACGTTTTAAGCTTCTAATGGCGTGGATTTTTCACCAGACTGTTATGGCATCTGTGCGATTATTTACTCCTTCACAAAATAATTTCCAATCTTTGGTTTTAGCTATTTTGATTAGTTTTTGGACCTTGTGGTTTAGTTCGTGAGCTACCGTTATATGGTTATGGTCGTGTTTGGCTCTATTGAAGGCTGTTTTACGTTTGCGTCTAGTTTGTTCTATTTCCTCGTTCCACCATGGTACCGAGGGTTTGCCTACGTTATTTGTTTTATAAGGTATTGATGCTTTGGCTGCGTTGATTATTTCTGGGTCCTTATTTTCTAGTTTGGTTAGGTTGGCTTGGTTGCAGATATCCTGAAATTTGTCCCAGTTAGCTTGGTTATAGCTGAATTTTGGTACTAGGTTTTCTGTTTGGGTAGGAACTTTTGTATTGGCTATGGTAATGTTTATAGGGAAGTGGTCCCTACCTAGTCACTAGTGGGGCGTCGTGAACTTCCCATTGAGTACTTTGGGCCAGAATTGAATTTTTTGTTCTGTCCAGTGGTATATGTTAATGATGTTTATTTTTTGGTTTTTGAGAGTTATTTGGATGCCATTTGCTTCTAGGTTTGGTGTGTTTATTTTGATTTCTTCATAAATGTCTTCTCTGATTAGTTTTATTAATCCTCCTGCGGCTCTAGCGGTTTTAGGTTTGGCTCGGTCTGTTCTAACTGAGTTGTAGTTTGGTAGAGTAAATTTAGATTTTTTTGAGAATTTGGTTTCTTGGATGCAGGCAATTCGCGGACCCTTATCTTGTTTAAATTTTGCTTTTAGTTCGTGGCTTGGGAATTAAGTCCGTTGGCATTCCACTGAAATATGTTTAGGCCTTCCATTATTTGGGCTTTTAGTGTTTGGAGGTTAGGTTTGATTTAGGCTAGGGGTTTTTACTTGGTTGAGGTAGGGCTAACTAATTCGAGGCCTATGCTGAAGAATTCGTAGGTAAGGGTTGTCAGTTTAAGCTTATTTGCTACGGTATAGAAAGCTTTAGTGCTAGCGTTTGGGTTTATTTCCTTTAGCATGTATGCGAGAAGGATGGTTAAGTTGTTTAGTTTGTTGTTTGACATTTCCTGGGGCCTGCGTTTAAAGATTTTGTTTTTTGGGGGGGTTGAGAGAGTTTTTTCGTTTATGTCTTCCTCGGTTGTGCATTCGTATTCTTCTGTGTTGTTAAGTTTAGTTTCCTCACATTCCATGGGGGTGGTTTGCGTGCGTGCTTGTGTTTGTGGTAGTGGTCTGGATGTGGTTTCCTTACTGTCTGGGTTTTCGGGTTGTGATTGCTTGGGATCGGTTGTTGTTGCCATAGCGGCTGTGGTTTGTATGTTGCCGGGTTGGGTTGTGGCGGGCGTATTGTTGCTTGTTTTGCGTGCAGGTGTGGATGTTGTGAATGTGCTAGTGGAGGTGGAGGGTTGTGGGATGGACGTGTGGTGGATGTGTGTTTTGGGTGCTGGGTGTACTCTTTGCAGGATGCCATCCCATGCCGAGTTTAAGTGTGGGGTGTTGTTTGGTTGTGGTGTGGGTAGCAGAGTTTTTTTTGTATGCTGTGGTTGTCTTTTTGTTTGGAGTTTGGCCGTGTCGATATTGATGTGTTTCTTGGCCTGTTGTGTGAGGGTGTGTCTATGAGGGCAGTGGTTGGATAGTGAGGAATGTTGTATGCTTTTACAGTGTATGCACCAGGGTGTGCATGTCCCTGGGCAGTCAGTTTGGGCGCATTTCCTGCATTTAGTGTTTTGGAATTTACATTGATTGGCTGTGTGGTTGTATTGGAGACAGTTAGAGCATTGTGTAACTTGTTTTATGTATGGTTTGACTTCTAATTTAGGGGTTGCTCCGAAGGAGATAAATTTAGGTGCTTCTGGATATTTAGCTGATTTTTGGAAATTGATTATGACTATTGGTGTGTTTGAGATTTTACCGTTTCTATTTGAAGTTATTCTTCGGGTGCTAGTTATTTTAGGTTGGGGGTACATATCTTGGTTATCGTTAGCGTCTTGTGCGTACATGTCTAAGTCTTCGTTGTTTTCTTTAGGA